CGTCCACGCAGCGCCCGTGTCCAACACCCAATAGTCCAGGGGGTGCAGCTCTGCTCCAACCTTGGCAGAGGCGTCTCCTTGCTCCCCCTGCTCTCCAATATGGAAGAACTGGCCCGCGGTGCGCTCCTTTTTCTTCTCCACACCGCCGTTGCTCTTCGGGTTGTTGTCGGACGAATCGGCGACCATGTTCGCGCCGTTTTTCTGGTTCCTCCGCGCGCCGCCATCCTGGTGACGATTCTGGGGGGTCCATCCATCGGGTTTCTTATAGCACAAAAACCAGGGGTGCCCCTCCTTCTCACAATACCAGCAACTCCCTTTCATTTTGCCACCAGCACCCGACTTGCCCCCACGTCCAGATTTCGCACCGCGACCCCAACCGGTACCTCCTTGTTGGTCGTTGGAGTCGTCGTCCTTCTTTGCACCGCGCCCGGCACCACCGAAGCCTCGTCCTCTGCCACTTGCATCCCATAGCCGTTGCTGCCGTCGTCTCCACCCCTCAGTTGGCGGCGACGGAAGTCCTCCTCCAGAATCTTTGTCCGCACCCACTCGAGTGTCCACGAGCTCTGGTTCTGCGGCAGGCTCAATCCGCTCGTGAATTGAAGCCACGATTCCGGCAGCAGCGAGAGCATCTTCAAGCACTTGGTCTGCTCCAAGTAGGTGATTCCCGCAGTCCCCAACTTCGCGTAGAGGTCGCTCATCTTGTCCAGGACAGGTTGCACCGGCTCTCGCTCGCTCAGGGGCAACACGGACAGCTCCCTCTCCGTCATGAGCGTCGCGGCAACAGAGGTTGGGGCGTGCAGCTCCTTCAGCACAGTCCACGCCTTCGGACCGCACTTATCCTCCGGCAGCATGTGCATGACGTGATGACGCTGGTTCAGCTCCAAACTCTGCGACATTAAGTAGTAGCCAGCCGAGGAGCGCTCGTCCCATTCTTCCAGCAGCACGGGGTCACTCGGTCTAGGCTCCTCCCCAATCATTAGTTTAGCAATCCAATCTGACGGAAATATAGTTGCATTTTCCAGGCCCAATCATCATAGCCCTCTCCATTGAACTTCTTGACGGTGAAGTTTTTCAGCACCTCCTTGATCAGCGAGCCCTGGTTTGTTCGCGCTCCCCTTGGCGCCGATACACCAGAATTTTGGCTGCCGCTACGATCTTGGGCTGAAGATTCACTAGCTCCCGCCGAATCCTTTCCCGCCATAGCTACCTATAACGAGGATCGCTTTAACGCAGCTCTGATTCCAGCTTGTTGGTGAAAAGGGCCTAATAAACTCAGGCTATTAAGACGTTATCCAACTTAAAACCTCTCCTCGGGGTCACCTCCAAGGGTCCCTGGGTGCTTGGTACAGGACCAGCCCCTATCCTCGGGTCCGAGTATGTAGAGAGAGGGATCAAGAGGGACTTAGTCAAAACAGCAAGAGTACCTTGAACGTTGCGCAGCGTGCCGTGCAGACCGTCGATCGGATCAAGCTGAGAATTCGCTATATCGAAGCTCACTCTAAGAGCTTTAAAATAAACCAAGTTGCCTCGCGAAAAGTTCTGCCATTGCAAAGTAATGGCTCGAACAGCGTTTGCCTAGCGTCGTAGTGCTAGCGTGCTAGCATTGACTCGGTAGCATTCTGCCGTCGCACCGCGTAGAAACGAAATTCCAGGAAGGGGGGAATTCGCCTGAATCAAATTGACTATATCCAGGTACAAACAGAGAAGGAATAAATAGTTCTAGCTAGCAAGGACCTTGGGAATAAACCTGGGAACAACCAGGGATGATCCGAAATAATTCAAAGCAACAGAACCAACCTGGCTGGACAAAGCACCAGGTGGTAGGTTGGTAAACAACCTCTGGTTCTATTTTTCCAACCTGGGAAAACAACAACCAGGTTCAGGTCATAAAAGCAGAACCTGTTTTGTCTTTGCCCAACCAGCCAAATGCCGGTTCCGCTGGTTTCCCCTGGCCCTGTAGCATGCAGATACAGACAAACAACATCCAACCTTCACCTAAATTGTACCCCTATAGTGCCTGCCCTGCTACATTATAGTTAACCAAACAAAACAGTACAATTTCGAGTTGAATAGAACTGAATCTGCGCAATCAATTCAACCGAACTTCTAAGCTTCCATCTTGGGTTCCTTTGCGAGCTCGTCCTTTCTGCTTGCACTGTTCATAGCACATACAATGTTGTGCTGAAGCGCACATTGCGCGAGTACCTGCAAATGCATCAAGCAAAAATTGCGAAAGCAAACAAACACACGAACATTCCATTCACACCCAAATACATTCGCATACGCATACTCGTACAAACAGACGGCTGGATGTCGTGCAACGTGAATTTGCACCCAACAACCACTTCGCTGTCGGTGGACTTCCTGGCGTCCAACTGCTCCCCTTCATCGTCGCCGGCTTCACTGCCTTCGCCGTCCTGCTGCACCAAAGTCGGCGTCCCTCCCGACTTCTCCCCTGTTGTCGGCTCCCCTGCCGACTGCCCGATCGCCGACGGCTCGTTGGTCGGCGTCACTGCTGGCTGCTCCCCTGTCGGTGGCTTCCCTGCCGCCACCTCCTTTACCGGCTTCAGTAAAGTCGGCTGCTTCCTCTCCACCCGCTGCTCCCCTGCCGTCGGCGGCTTCTCTCCCACGCCGACTTGCTTGACATCACGTCGGCCACCGGCGATGCTCTTGGCCGGCGCCACAGGCGACGCCCCACTGCTCCCCTCATCGCCGGAGGCCGACGCCGGCGTCAGCTTCAGCATGTCGGCTACAAGGGGTGGGTCAAGAGGAGCAGGGAGTAAGGGGAGGACGTCATCGGCGTCCTCATCAGCTGGCTCGCCGACCTCGGCGATCAGGGGAAATGACGCCGTCGAGGTGTCCGTCGGCGGGTTGAACTGCGCCCGTCCCGATGCCGGCCCGTGCTCCGACTTCCACACTTCCAACGACAGTCTCGTAGAATACCACGTCCGATGTGGTGACCACCCTGTTGTCGGTGAGGTCGAGGAGCTCCCAGCCCTTGCTCTCCTCCGACACACCGAGGTGAAGGCCCCACCTGGCCTTCGGCTTCAGCTTGCTGACACGCTGCTGCTCGGGGACCAGGAACTGTGCCATGCAGCCCTACACACAGGCCAGCGTCAGGTCGGGCTTCTTGCAGGTCACCAGCTGGTACAGTGTCGTCCCCGGCGGCAGCGCCGACCGCTCCAAGCAGTTGCGTACCCAGACTGCCTGTCGCAGGGCGAGGTGCCACCAGTGTTGCTGCACGCCCATGTGCAGCAGCATCGTCCGCACCGACTCCACCACCGTCCGCATCTCCCGCTCCGCCATGCCGTTCTGCTGCGGTGTGTAGGGGCAGGTCAGGTCGTGGACGATCCCTTTGCAGTCCACGAAGTCGGTGAACTCCTTCCCAAAGAAATCCCCTCCCCGGTCAGAGATCAGCATCAGCACCGACTTCTTCGTCTGCTGTTCAGCCACCACCAGCCACTTCTCGAACTCCCGCAGCACGTCGGACTTCCTGGCGACCGGCCTCACCCACACGTAGCGGGTCTTGCAGTCCTTTAGCAGCAAGAAGTACAGGCTCCCGTCTTTGGCGGCCACCCTGAATGGCCCGTATAGGTCGATTTGCACGACAGCCAGGGCATCGTCGGCGTACGATCCCTTGTCGGGGAAGGTGCGCCACGCCAGCTTCCCGCCGACGCACGAGACACACAGAGCGTTGGTTCTGGCTGACGGCTTGATGTTCAGGCTGGTGGCGACCTCGTGCTTCGCCGAGCTCGTGATGGTGTCAACGTTGACGTCAGCAAGCCTAGCACGCCACCTGGCCGGCGTCGACGTCGCCGCCGAGACGATCGCCCATAGAGCCACCGTCTCCGTCGTGGTCGACATCAACTTCGCCGAGCAGGGACAAAGGTCGGTGCAGAGGACCCGGCCGGTGTACGTCGCCCGATCGAGAACGTCCCCCGCCGCCGAGATGAGGAGCATCCCGTCACCGTCGTCCTGCAGCTTCACGCCGCTCTCCTTCAACTGGCCGGCGGACAGCAGGTTCGCCTGCACACCGGGGACGTAGTGCACATCGGGGATGAGCACCTGCTTCCCGGCTTCTCCTTGCAGGGCGACAGTGCCTTGGCCTTGGACGTCGTGCAGCGCCCCATTGAAGCCGCCCACGTCCTTGACGTCGCCGCTCGGCTCCAAGTCGACGAAGGCTGCCTTCGTTCCCATCAGATGGTGCGAGCAGCTGATTTCGAGAAGGACCACTGCCGGGTTCGCCTGCACGGCTGCTGCCACCGCGTGGAAGTCCTCGCCGTCCTCCGGCGCCAGCGAGACGGTCGGCTCCACGACGCCGACCAGCGAGCACGACGCCTCCCTGTCGCTCGCCTGTTGCCGCCTGAGGAAGAGTCGGCATCCTTCGCCGACGTCGACTTGGTCGACTGCTTCTCCTTGCGCGGCTTGCTCTCCCGACATGGGCGACGGCCGGCCGTCCTCCCTCGGCCTCCCTTAGTGTCGTCGTCGTCGGAGTCGGTGCGGTCGGGGCAGTCAAAGGAGAGGTGGTCGGGGTTACCACACAGCCAACACTCCCAACGACGATTCCCTCCTCCTCAACCGCCATCCTTAGCCGACCTCGCCTTGTCGGTCTCCTTGGTGTCGCGACATATATTATATATATGTTTATAACTGCCTGTAGCTTTAGCTTTAGTGTAGTTATGTTACCATGCTGTTGGTGGTGCACCTCTTGTTTGTGTTTCTCGAATATATCTTGCATGCTTTGCTTTTAGTGAAGTCACATGTTTGGTCAACTCTCTCGATCCTCTCTTGGCCTTGACCCTCGACACTTGCTTGGCCTAGGCTACTAAGCCCTGCTTAAACCCGGTTACCAGCTAAATTAGTATCGTGACATGGTATTGAGCTAGGTCGTGCCCGACCTATTTTTTAAGGGCCCACCGTTAGCTTTCGCGATGGCGCGTCCCGCCCTTCCCCATCGCTCACCCGTAGCGAAATCCGTTACGGTAGTCGTGACAGACACAATGGTCGCGGCGGGAGTGACAGCGCTCGTCGACCCACTGTTTCGCGCCGCTGCTTTTGCCCCCCGTCGGCCCCTCGACCCGCCGCTGCCTTCCCCGTTGCCCTTCCTCGTCACGCTACCTCGTCGCGACTCCCTGGCGCGGAAACATCGATGGTCGCAGTGGGGGGGGGGAGAGGAGATGGGGAAAGGGGTGGCGGTCGTCACTTGAGCACCAGCGTCAACCTTCGTTTCGTCCCGTCCCGTTCCGTTCCGTCCCCGCCCGCCCTCCCGTCGACTTCACATCTGCTGTGAAGGGAGTGGCGGGAATGGCGGGCGTGGCGGGAGTGGCGGGAATAGCTGCTGCTCCGCCACTACACGCTACAGATCGTCCGCGACCCGCAAGCCCGCCAGTAAGCGAACCAGCGGACCCGCCAGCCAACGAACCAGCAGACCTGCGGACCCACCAGCAGACGAACCAGCAGACCTGCGAGCCCGCCAGCAAGCAAGCCGACGGAGCCGCCGTCGGACCCCCCAGCAACCGCACGGGCACCAGCGCCATCAGCCAGCGCCCGTGCCAACCACCAGCCATGCCGCCCGTCCCTCCCCTCTCCCACGTCGACTGCGGCTGTGGTGGGGGAGGTGGCGTGGAGGGGGTGGCCGCCATGAGCCCCCTGCGCTTCCCCACCCGTCCCGGCCCTGTGCGTTTGCAGTGGCAGTCGCTGTGTGGGGGAGGAAGGGGGGAAAGGGGTGACGGCGGGACGTCCGCCAGCAACAGTCGCACTGCCGCCCGTCCCTCCATCCCTCTCCCTTCCCTTGTCGCCCTCCCTTCTGCGACTACGGCTGTGGGAGGGGAGGTGGCGTGGAGGGGGTGGCCGTCGTGAGCCTTTGCAGCCCCACCCTCCGGCCTCCCACCTCCGCTATCACCACTGCCAGGCCTGCCGCGTTGCCTCGGCCGACTACCTTGCTTCGTCGGGGCGACGTAGTTCGCCTGCAGCAGGAGCTCTGTGGACTGCTCGGCCTCCTGCATGGCCTCGTCCCTGAGGATGTACGAGGTCAACGAGTCCTCGTTGAGCGACTCCCTCGTGCACGGCACCACCATCAGTCATTTCATCAGGTTGTAGCTCATTGGGAGCCCCTTGATGACGTGCGTGGGGTACGACGCCGTTGAATACTCGACGCCGGCCATCCGCATGCAGGCAAGGAGACGCCGAGCTCGGTTGCAGTAGTCGGTTGCTGTCTCCTGCTCGCCCATCCGCAGGTGCGTCATCTGCTCCTCCAGCTGACCAATATACAGGTCGTCGGTGACCTGGTACGTCGACGTGATGAACCACCACGCCTGGTGGCCGGCGTCCAGGTGACTCCGGCACGACTTCAAGGCAATCTGCACCACCGGCGAGCAGCACCGCGAGATGACCGTGAAGGTCAGCAGCTGCACGGCACGGAACTCCGCACGCAGCTCGGCGTTGCTCGCAGGCGGCGTCTCCACGGTGCCTTCGGCGAAGCACATCAGCCCGGCCATCTCGAGCTGGGGCTCGATGGATTCCCTCCACGTGTGAAGTTCAGACGTCCACCGACGTCCACCGACGTCGCCTTGCGAGGAGCCCGCAGCCTCTGAAGACTGCAGCCCTCGCGCTTGAATGCCGCCGACTTCACCGTCGGCCGTCCGGAACACCCCTCTCTGGCTCGACTTGCCTCCCGCACTGCTGCCGACTTGGTCGCCGCCGCCGGAGCCCTCGCCGAAGCCGCCTTCATTCACCGGTCGAGGAGAAACAGGTCTGGAAGGGTGCTCCGACTCCCACTTGGCGCGGATGCCCAGCTCGACGACCTCCAAGGGGAGGGCCATCCCGAACTCGCCAACCTCGTGGCGTCTCCTCGCATCCTCCAGCCGCGTCTCCAAGGTATCCACTGCGCCCGTGTCAACTATGGGGCCAACCATGGTGACTAACGTAGCTGCCGGCCTACGAACGAAATAGGTAACACGTGTCTAAGTAGGCTAAACCAAAGGTATCGTTGCGGTGCCGTCCACGCTTACCGCACCATGCGAAGATATCTACTACAACGGGAGATAGACTACGGGGAAGGCACGGGGTAGGGGTGATCGTAGCGTTCGTTCCTTAGTCGTTCATTTACGGGGGAAATTGGCAAGAGTTTCACTAGCAAAAGTTCACAACAATGGTTAACATTGCCAAGCATGCAGGCCGACTGCCAGCGCAGCACGGTCGACCGCGTTCCAGCACTGCAGAGTCGTGGTCTGCCAACGCTGCAAGTCGACGGAGTGAAAACGCAACAGCAAGGCGGCTGCACAGCGTTGCACCCGCAGGACAGCAGCGCACCTGCCTTCGCAGGTGCTCGCAGCTAGTTGGCGTGCTATGCCTCGTCACATTCACAGCGCAGACGCCAAACTAACCATGTGCCCACAGCTGCACCTGATCCTCCATGTCGACCTCGGGATACCACACCGAGGTCGGCTTCGCAAGAACCTCCTCGGCGACCCTCGCGCACCCCGCAGTGCCCGTCGCCCTGTTACAACGTAATACTTGACTAAGCATCTCTACGCAAGCAAGTGAGGGCCTGTAGACACAAGGCCAAGCTGGGTGCAGAAAACGCTGGTGGTCACAAGGTGGCAACGCCTTGTTGAAGATATCTGCAGTGTTGGCATCAGAGACCATACGTACCACGCGGGCCTGGCCACGCTGCTGCAACTCGCGCAGAACGAAGTAACGAAGCTGGATGTGCTTCGCCTTCCCAATCAGTCGGGGCTCCTCGCACAACAGGACAGCAGACCTGTTGTCGGCGAACAAGACTGGGGGAGAGCGAGGCCGCTCACCAAGGTCGGTGAGGAGGAAAGACAGCCAGCGAAGCTCCAGGGCGGCCATGGCCGCAGCGTACACCTCTGCCTCACAGCTGGAACTGGAGACTGACGACGCCCAAGTCGACTTCCACGAAACAGCTCCGGTCCCAAGACTGAAGCAGTAACCCTGTGTAGACCTCAGGGACTCTGCGTAACCTGTAAGTGTAACTGGCTGCTTCCTTCCAAGGACAAGTCCCATGCCCGATGTACTCGCCACATACTTCGCCACTCTCTTAGCCGCGTACCAGTGGGAAGGTCGGTGTCTCCCAGGCACAACAAAATGCGCCAGGACGCTAACACGGTAAGCTAGGTCTGGGCGAGTGCAGGTCATCAAATACACGAGACAACCCACCAATTCAGGATATGGACCGCTGGACTTAAATGGCTCGTTCGAAGGTGGAGCGGTGAGCCCATGATCCACAGCAAGAAAGGTGAGCTGTACCTTGGAGAATGTCGGTGTAAGGGCCTAATAAACTCAAGCTATTAAGACTTTATCAAACTTAAAACCTCTCCTCGGGGTCACCTCCAAGGGTCCTTGGGTGCCTGGTACAAGACCAGCCCCTATCCTCGGGTCCGAGTTTGTAGAGAGAGGAGTCAAGAATGACTTAGCCAAAATAACAAGAGTACCTTGAACGCCGCGCAGCGTATCGTGCAGACCGTCGATCGGATTAAGCGGAGACTTTGCTATATCGAAGCTCGCTCCAAGAGCTTTAAAATAAGCCAAGTTGCATCGTGAAAAGTTCTGCCATTACGGAGTTATGGCTCGGACAGCGTTTGCCTAGCGTTGGAGTGCTAGCGTACTAGCGTTGACTCGGGTAGCATTCCGCCGTCGTACCGCGTAGAAACGAAATTCCAGGAAGAAGGAATTCGCTTGAATCAAATTGACTATACCCAGGTACAAACAGAGAAGGAATAAATAGTTCTAGCTAGCAAGGACCTTGGGAATCAACCTGGGAACAACCAAGGATGATCCCAAATAATTCCAAGCAACAGAACCAACCTGGCTGGACAAAACAGCAGCTGGTAGGTTGGTAAACAACCTCTGGTTCTGTTTTTCCAACTTGGGAAAACAACAACCAGGTTCAGGTCCTAAAAACAGAACCTGTTTTGTCTTTGCCCAACCAGCCAAATGCTGGTTCCGCTGGTTTCCCCTGGCCCTGTAGCATGCAGATACAGACAAACAACATCCAACCTTTACCTAAATTGTACCCCTATAGTGCCTGCCCTGCTACACTATAGTCAACCAAACAAAACAGTACAGTTTCGAGTTGGATAGAACTGAATCTGCGCAATCAAGTAAGCCGAACCGCAAAGCTTCCATCTTGGGTTCCTTTGCGAGCTCGTCCTTTCTGCTTGTACTGTTCATAGCGCGTACAATGTTGTGCCGAAGCGCACAATGCACGAGTACCTGCAAATGCTTCAAGCGAAAATTGCGAAAGCAAACAAACACACGAACATTCTATTCACACGCAAATACATTCGCACACGCATACTCGTACAAACAGACGGCAAGATGTCGTGCAATGTGAATTTGCACCCAACACACTCCCCCTCAGCCTGCCGGCTGCATCCCCATCATTCCATTAAAGTTCATGCTCATTCCACTCATGGGCACACAACGCCAATGAGGCTCATCCGCAAGCCTCTTGGTGAGGAAGTCTGCTGGCTGCTGGTGAGTGTTGATGTAGATCGGATTCACCGTCCCCCTCTTCACCTCCTTACGCAGCCAGTGCCACTTGATACGCATGTGCTTGTTCAGCCCATGAAGCACAGCGTTCCTGGCCATCCCAAGAGCCCCCTTGCTATCACAAAACAGCGGCGTAGCAACCTTCTGCTCCTGGCCAATCTCCTCTAACAGCCTCCTCAGCCAAATCACCTCCTTCACCCCATGGAACATCGCCATGTACTCTGATTCCACGGAAGAGAGTGCCGTCTCCGTCTGCTTCTTTGACCTCCAACTAACAAGTCCTCCCCCAACTACGCAGATGTATCCTCCCACAGATGAGGAATCCCCTTTCTCAGAGGCCCACGTAGCATCGGTAAAGCAAGTGAGAAACAGCTTGCCTTCTCCAAGCCTCTCCCCCTTCTCTTTCAGTACCTCAACCCCTTTCTGCTTCACCTGTGCAGATGCGGAGTATTGAACTCCAATGCTTGGATGAGAGTTCAGGTACTTCACCACACGCTCAGCTGCATCCACCTGCTCCTCTGATGGATTCTGCACCACGCTAGCCAGCTGCCCAACCGAGAAAGAGATGTCGGGCCTCGTGTGAACTGCTGCATACAAGAGGCTGCCCACCAAGGACTGAAATTGCTGTTGCTCCTCGGCTTCAACCCCTTCACCCTTTGCAGCCTTCATAAGCTTGAATTCTGCTGGCAGGGGAGTTGCAACCTTGCGCTCATTCTCAATCCCATACTTCTCCCCCAGCTCCTTGATGAACTTCTCCTTGTGCAGCTTCAACCACCTGTGATCTGGATCCCTCTCCACGTGCATCCCGAGGTAGTACTTTACCTCCCCAAGGTTCTTGCACTTGAAGTTCTCCATCAGCTGCTGCTGCACTTTATGGATCTCCTTCATGCAGCTGCTAAAGAGAAGAATATCGTCCACATAGACCAGAAACAGCTGCCAACTTCTGGTACCAGCAGCGTGGCGCCTGCTTCAAGCCGTAGATGGACTTTTTCAGCTTGCACACCCTGCCCGTACAATCCTCATACCCAGGCGGCTGCGTCTTGTACACATCCTCCTCTAAAATCCCATTGAGAAATGCCGTTGATATATCCATCTGAATGATGAATTTCCCACTAACGGCTGCATCTGCCATTAAGACGCAAAGGGTAGGGGGTTTGGCAGTGAGAGCAAAGATCTCATTGAAGTCCCGCTTCTCCTTCTGCATAAACCCCTTAGCCACCAGCCTACTCTTGTAGATGGTGAACTGTCCCTTGTCATCGGTGTTGATCCTTAGCACCCACTTGCACTGTACGGCTTTCTTCCCCTCAGGTAGCACCACCAGATCCCATGTCCCATTCTCTAGC